CCCACGTCCACCAGTGATTCTCACCTGAGGATGCAGGACCCCAAGGCGGCCTATCAGAAGCATCTTTTGGGCTTGGTTTCTTCTTTTGCTATTGTCTGTGTTTGTTTTAGAGACTGCTTTTTTCCTCTTTACTTTTTCTGAGCTCAACACTGCTCACCCCTCAGATGATTGGATAGGCCTGCCTGGGGGTCCATGCCCCCAGCCCTCCCTTGGGTGAAACCCACCCCCCACCCCAGATAAGAATCACTGCTGTGGATGGCCATCCTGATTCCCTGCCCTTCAGTCTCCCATTTTAGGCCTGGAGGCTTCTCATGCTTGCATTTATCCTCTCACTCAAAGATCTCAGCATTTCCCTCTCATATAGACTAGGCACTCTCTGCGTCAAACCACCCTCATTTCCCTCCCTATCTGCCCTGAAGTCAGACAGGCCCCAGCCCCAGGTCTGTGTTAGAGAATTGATATCTTCGTCCCCATTTCATACTCCCTTTTACTGTTAAAGATCATTGTTTTAGAGGGCCAGAATGTCCATTTTTACCTGTTTTTGTTTGTTCTTTTTTTTTTTTTTTTTTTTTTTTTTTACTACTTCTCTCATCTGCTTTTTATACTTCTTACTTAGCATTTTTAGTGTTTTTCCCATTCTAACTAACCTGGAAATCTTCCCATGGAAGCACTTTCTTTTGTATATTTCCTTCTTTTCCTCTGGCATCAGTCCACCACTTTTCCCACCCCTTGTTTCTTTACTCCACAGTCAGCCTCCGACTCTTGAAAAGGATTTCTCTTAAATATTTACATTGAAACTTTTACCCTTCAGTACATGAAAGCAACCTATACTCTTAACCCCTTTATTACTGGCCTTATAGCTTCCACACCCATACAGTATTTTCTGTTCTGGTTTTAATATTTTCTATCCTTGAAGTTTACATATTGTGACACATATGGCAGGATTCCACCTTTAGTACTGCCTCCAGTTACTCCCCACTCCTCTTATCTCCATCATGCATTCTTTTTACTGTACTATAGTATTTTCATTATCTTCATACTGTTAATCCATGCAACTTTCCTGTCTTTTCATTATTATCAAGGATGTTTTCATCTCATTTTTGGATTTTCTTAAGGACTCTCATAGTCCTACCTGAAGCTCCTTAGACAATCCATTCTGCACCTCTTTTTCTCTTCTTTGACATTTGGAAACCCCTGTGCCACCCATAATTTGTTTACCACTGTCTTCTGGTGCAGTTAGCAGCCCTTTCTAGTTACGGATGTGCACCATTCAGTTCTATTTCCTGGTGCCCTTTCCCCTGTCTCAGCTCAGTTCCTCTTTACTCATTTCTGAACTTCTTTCCTCCTTTTTGGAATCAGATTTAAGTATACTACTCAATCTGTTGTGCCTCTGCACCTTTTTTGTTGGTTTGTTGCCTTTTTCTAACATTCTACTCGGATGCATACAGTTGTCTTCTGACTTGCTTCTTTCCTGCCTCACCCTTTTTTCCTTCCATATCTCTGGTCCATCTTTAATCTTATAACTCTTTTCTCAATTTATGCTCTTGTTCTACTGACCTCATTGTTTCTGGGTTTCCTTATTGTGAAGCTGATTTGCCCTGTTTTTACTTAAGTTACTCTGAAACATTGCCAAATCCGTGTATGCTCTTTTTATTTAGTGTCTGTCACTTGTTTTCTTCCTTATTCCATATGATAACGATTATAGTGGCAAATCTTATTTTCCAGTATGTCCTCCTCACATGACCTTTCCCATCCTAAGGTAAATTTAAAATACCTTTTCCCCTCATTTTGTTGTTTTTCTTTTTCTGCCTTGGAAGAGCACACTTAACCATCCATCCACTGTGTGTCACTCCTATGCATTCACTAAGATCTTGCTGTCAGGCACCTCTTTCTGTTCTCCATTCACTGCTCTGTCCCTTTCTTTATGTCTTCTTTCCTGCATACTGTGCTGAGCTGCTTTGGTTCTCTGTTCCTTGATTGGATCCCTGCCACTTGCCTTGTTTTCTGTCCACTTTACTGAATGTATCTCTGTTCTGTCAACTGCACTTTTTAATGCAAATGTACTTTCCTGGATACTACCTCTTATATCCAATTTTTACTTACCATTTTCTCTCATCCCTTTCTTTCTTCCTTTAAAAGCTGCCTACACAGTCTTCTTCCTGACTCAACTTTTTAAGTACAAACAATTCTCATTATCCTGTGTGCTTGAATAATAATTTTTGGTAGCAAACACTTACATTGCATTATCCTAAATTTGAAAAAGCCCGTATCCATCTCCCTTTAAAAAAACTCAACCTGTTTTCTCAATCGTCACTAAAACACTATGATAAAAAAAAAAAACTTTTATGTATTTCTTATACACCATTTTAAAGGATAGTGACCTAATTATTTAACATCTCATCAGTTCATTAGCAGACATGTTTGTGTATAGTACCATTTTGTACTATACTCATACTATAATAAGGACTATAATAAAGACTCATACTTTAATAGACTATAATTGCATTTGCCTTTTATACTGCAAGGAACAATGGAATGTTTTCAATATAAATAACAAATGCCTATACATTTTTAAATGAAATATATAAACAGGAAGTTTTTTGGAAATGTTTACTTACCACCTGATGAGTTGCTTGAACTGTCCCACTCATAAGATGGGGAAGATGACAGGAATAACGCACAACACATTTCACACCCTTGAGCACAGGGCGTAAGCCTATCGGCACAAGACCGCAGCGGAAACAGACCATCTCAGGTAGGCTGGCGTGCAAGCTAAAAGTTTTTGTTAGTACAAGAATGCTAACTCACTATACCAGATTTCCTAAGTACATGGTGATATATATATCATATATGTCATTATATATATATATATATATTTATATATATATATAAACTTTGCATATTAACAAGTATTTAGGCAATATGAGCAGATAGTTGGTGATATCTGAATTCCTCATTCTGGTCTCAATTATACTGGCTGTTTCATACCTTGCATATTCCAAACCCAGACTAATTCACGCATTTTTTTCTTCCAAACAAGCATTTTCTCCTCTCCCTTCTCCTTTCTTCTTCTTTTTATATATACAAGTCTTCTCAGTTGCTTTTCTTACTTTCAGCCAATACTAACATTATTCCTTAACTTCTTGGCCAATTTAACATCATACTTACTGCTATGTCCTTTCATAACCCCCTTTGAATATCTGCCCTGCCATATCTTAAATGTTCTACAAATCATTTACCCACTGACTCTATAATCAGTGAATGCTGGATTATTCTCTAGATGCTAACCTTACCATGATTCCCAACCAGTCCTCAACCAACAGCATTCATTTGTTCTACAAAGAAAATCCCGATCTGTACCTGTCAATCCTGATGTTTTTAAGGTTTCCAACAATGGCTTCTTATCAGGGTTTATCTTAATTCATCTCCTTCTAACCTTCCCTACCAAGCAGTCACTTAAGAAATAAATTTCCCACTAAGGCTTCAAGCACCAACCTATCCAACTTCTTTTTCAAATTCCTGCTCTTTTCTCATTCTGTATATGGTTCTTCTGAGATCGGACAGCTCTGTTTCTTTAATTCATATTTGATCTGTCTTCTTGTTATTCCACCTACTCAAAACTGCTTTCTAATTCATACAGTGTCCCATTTATTGACTTACTATCCTCTGTTTCTTTTTTCCATCAAGAGCTTTGGCTTAAGTGTAGAGCAATAGCCATTTTTCCCATCAATATATGTGACTATTCAAATAATGTCTTTCCATTTACAAACAACCTGAATGTTGCCCTTCTATTCCTTTTTCTCTTTCTCCTTTTGCTGCAAACTCCTTACATTTTCTCCAACATTCCTTCTTCATTCAGCTGTATCATTTAGTGGATATAACCATCTCTTTTGGATGATGTGTACACTCTTGATATTCAGCACTCACTATTCAGCTGTCTTCCATCTTCCTCATATCTCATTCTTTGTACTGAATCTCTTTCCACCCTCCATTCAGTCTGGACTTCCTGGGATCCCTGCCCTGACCCATTTTAAGTCCATCACATTAATCTCTCTCTAACCCCTCATTCTATTGATTCCACGAATTGCCTCAAATCTTTTTCCAACAAAGCTTTCTGGGCAGCAACATATACTCCAATTCTTATTTGCTATGTTCTCACTTCCCTCTTTTTTCCCATGATTGGTATCTAGCTTAACATATAACTCCACTGAACTTGTAATTCTGATTCTCAGTGCTCCTCATCCTGGCCCTCCTCAATACCCTTCCCCGTTTAACATTTTGCAAAATTGCTTGCTCAGCACCCCAGCCTAAATCTAACATGCCTTCTCATGCCTTCTCCTTCCTTAATTTCAGCTTCAATTTTTCTCTACCTTTTTCCTTTTTTTTTTTTTTTTTTTTTTTTTTTTTAGACAGATTCTTCCTCTCGCCCAGGCTGGAGTGCGGTGGCACCATCTTGGCTCACTGTAACCTCCACCTCCCAGGTTCAAGCAATTCTCCTGCCTCAGCCTCCCGAGTAGCTGGGATAACAAGCATGCGCCACCACACCCAGCTAATTTTTTATATTTTTAGTTCAGACAGGGTTTCTCCATGTTGCAGACTGGTCTCAAACTCTTGACGTCAGGTGATCCCCCCGACACCCCCGCACCTCCCAAAGTGCTGGGATTACAGGTGTGAGCCACTGGGCACAGTGAGTGCCCAGCCTACTAACACTTTTTTTTATACATATCTTAATAATTGCTTTTACAGCCAGTTCTAACATAATATTTCTTTTCTGAGCAAATCTTAACATACTTTGGCAAGTTCCTCCTAATTTCCTTTATTTGCACTGTCTTATATATTAACATCAGTATTATCAGCTTCCATCGATAATCACAGTGATGGATACATCATTCGTCTTAAGGTATACTCCCTTAATGCCACCCACCTGCGTGACACCAAATACAAATCATCATCTCACCAAATAAACCACTCACCCACGCTCTCC